CTCCTTGAAGTCCATTGACAATTATCTATCTCCAGTTTGCCTTGACCGTTAGTATTTCCATTTCTTGGGTACACCTAGCATGAAATAAACTTGTATTTTTGAACTCTCTCCTGGCTCCTGATTTCTTGCACCTGACACCAGATGGCACAACCTCACATGCCCTGAATCGCGGGCAGCTGTATAAAATGGATAGACAGGCAGATAGATAGCCAGCAGAGATTCTGTTTTTCCACTTGGAAGTTGGAGGAGGAACCTCTAAGAAGTTATTTCAGTAGAAATGCCTGGGAGAGGAAAACCCAAGGAGAGGGATGATTCTGAGATGACGACATCTTACACATGATATGTTGGGCAAGATTGTTCCAAGAACTTAATGTAAGAATAATTTTGCTGGATGAGCCCTCCAGGCAAGCATTTGATTTCTCTTACTGACCAACTGGAGGCCTCTGGCTGCTGGCAAATGAGAGAAGGAAAGAGATCCCCTCTGTTGTTATTCTTCGCTTGGTAACCGATATTTGGAAGCCTGCAGCCCTCAACTTGGAACGAGTGTCACAAATATTTTAACCGTTTCTGAAACGGAAAGCATTCAAGTTTTGCATGATTTTGATTGCTGTCTGCTGCCCTTTTTCCAGCTGTATTTTACCTTCTTTTTTTTTAGGTTGGCAAAGAGAACTAGTCAGGAGTATGTATGCACTGCAGATTTGTGGGTATATCCTGCAATGTAAGAGCATTATCTGGGCATTTCTATTCTTAATCCCTTCCCTAATGATCCCTAGTATGGAATTTGCTTCTTCTACAACTGCTACATTGGGTTGATTTGTTAACTGAGCTGTCTGCTGTGACCTCAAAATCATTTTCCTGGCTTGTTATAGATAGTTCAGACCCCACAATCGCTTGTTCTCACCCAAATGTGATTGGCTTTACACTTACACTGAATTTGTCACTGGGTGATCCTCTGGAGCTCTTCACAATCAAGCTGACTTCCCCACTCTGAATACAGGCAGTCCTCAATGACCACAATTCGGACTAGAATTTCCATTGCTAAGCAAGACGGTTGTTAAGTTTCGAGTCATGCCCGATTTGACAACCTATTTTGCCATAATTGTTAAGTGAATCACTGCAGTTGTTAAGTGAATCATGCAGTCAGTAATTGAATCTGGGTTCTCTCCCCCCCCAATTGCTTTGCTTGTAAGAAGTCGGTGGGGAAGGTTACAAATGGAGTTGACATGACCCTGGGACGCTACAACCATTGTAAATGCATGCTGGTTGCCAAGCTCCAAAATGTTGATCACATGACCATGTTGGATGCTACGATAGTCGTAAATGTGAGGACTGGTTGTAAATCACATTTTGCAATGCTGTTGTAACTTTGGAGAGTCACTCAATGAATGGTTGTGAGTCCAGGCATTTGGCAGGAATATACGCCACGATCTGTGCATCTCCTGTGAAGAGTCCAAAGGTAAACAAACAAATTCTTCAGAATTATTTTTTTTTAAATCAAACAAAAGTTGACATCTACAGGATTTCATCTTACATTCCAAGGATACCAAATGAAGGAATGGATATGGGTGCAGCTATTCCTGTTCTCTTTTAAAATTTCAACTATATAAAAGTCAATTCGCACATTGCATAAATCTCCAGTGCAACCTTAGCAGCTTCTTTGAACCCAAGTATTTTGATTTGTAAATCATAGCTTATGACAGTGGTATGTACAACCCAAAGTACTGGCATACCTTGTTTTACTGCGACTTCACAGATATTGTGAGGTTTTTTTTTTTAATAAGCTCCTTCACCAGTAAAAAAATTACGACTTCTGGATGGTTAGCATTTTTTAGCAATAAAGTTTTTTTAATTAAGGTATGTACATTTTTTAAAGTCATAATGCTATTGCCCACTTAATAGATTACAGTATAATATAAATATAATTTGGTTATGCAATGGGAAACCAAAACATTTATGTGACTCGCCTTACTGTGATATTGCTTTATTTCAATGGTCTGGAATCGAACCCACAATATTGCTGAGGTACACCCGTATATATTGTTGATTTGTTCCTGCAAACTATGGGTCAATAATAATTTGCAAAATGGATACACTGCCCAACTTTTAGTGACTCTGGGTGGTTTACAATGGTTAAAACATTTTTAAAAACAGAATAATACAAAAAAAAAACCCACCAAAATATTACAAGACAAAGAAACAATGATGGCAAAGAAAATAAACCCAGAGGGGAATACAGAGGAAGAAAGGGATATTAATTGTCCTCTTCAAATATATTGTTTTATTTTAAACAAAAGCTAAGGACATTCACCTAAATAGTAGACTAGATGACCAAGACTGCCTTTTGACCTGTTCTAAAATGAACTTTGTTTTTTTTTATTTCTTGAGCTTTTTTAAAATGATAGATCGTTTTGTTTATTTTATTTATTTATAGAAGCATAATTTTCTTTTTGTATGCCCCACTGGATGACTCCAGGGAGAGAATAATATAAAAGTATAATTAATCATGATAGCATAAAATAGTCCATGACACTGTTTTGATTGGCTGCCAAAATTAATTTTTAAAATAGCTCTGGGGCAAATGCAATAGTGATGCAAATTGGTTCTGAATTATTTCCTGTCCTCTGAAGCCTTTTGTTCCCAGGAGAAAGATTTCAGAAAGAATGAAACCAGGAGATGTTTGTTTATTTCAGTTCTTATATACAGGTAGTCCTTGACATATACAACCACAACTGAGCCAAAATTTCTGTTACTAAGTGAAACATCTGTTAGGTGAATTTTGCCCCACTTTACGCCCTTTCTTGCCACAGTTAAGTAAATCACTGCAATTGTTAAGTTAGTAACATGGTTGTTAAGTGAATGTGGCTTCCCCATTGACTTTGCTTGTCAGAAGGTCGCAAAAGATGATCACATGACCCTGGGACACTGCAACTGTCATCAGTATGAGTCAGTTGCCAAGCCTCTGAATTTTGATCACGTGACCACAGGGAAGCTACAATGGTTGTGTGGAAAAAAACGCTCCTAAGTCACTTTTTTCAATGCCATTGTAACTTTGAACGGTCACTAAATGAACTGTTGTAAGTCGAGGACAACCTGTAGATTTCTAAGTCCCTCTAATGCAGGGGTCTTCAAACTTGGCCCTTTTATGACTTGTGGACTTCAACTCCCAGAATTCCTCAGCCAGGCATGCTGGCTGAGGAATTCTGGGAGTTGAAGTCCACAAGTCATTAAAAGGCCAAGTTTGAAGACCCCTGCTCTAATGGTATTTCAGGACCATTCACAGAAAACCTGGCTGGGTCCTTAGGCCTCCATGTGTGGAGATGTCTAGGTTTGCTTTGCCGATGTGTGATCATCCAAACAGACCTTTTGTCCTTCCCTTAGTTTTACATCCCATGGTGTGTGGTTGGTTATGTTCAGTTTCAGTGCTTCTATTCACATTGGGTAATAATTGTGTAAGCCTGTGCTGGAGAGAGGAAGTTCACAATAGCACAAGGAAATCCAACAGCCAGAGGGGAAAATTCTTCTCTTGCCCCTTAATCCGTAGGACATACTGTATTGAGTGGAGATACAAGACAGAGCCATTCCTGGGTTCAACTTTCCATTGTTCTTTGGTTGCCCTTAACAGTTTTAATTTCAAACTACAATCTTTTTGGGGAGGGAAGATTTTCTGCTAAGCAATAACTGAAGCAAATTGTAAAATGTTGCACAACAGGTTCCTGGCTTTAAGTATGATCATTACTTAAGGAAGGGGCAGGCTAAGATGTTGAAATAGCAACCTTGGCTTTCCGAAGAAAATTGGTATAGGAATGAAATGTGTGTTTCAGGAATTTCTGGATCTGCTCTCATAAATTTAAAATGAAACTGACCTGCTTTAAATGAGCCTGGAGGGTCATTTGGATTAAAAAAAAAAGTTGCTATATTTGGAACCCAAGGAAAAGTGCATGAAGCATTTTTTGGAATTAAAGCAGCCATGTCATCTTCCAAGCTCACCAGCTGCTTTAGCCATTTGAAGAGAATTGCTTTGAAAAATGTTTCAAAGACCTCTTTGGATTTGCACAGCCTTAGTTAACAGGAGACTATTTTCTGGGTGTTACTCTTTATAGTGGAAGATATGACATAATTTGCAGTCAATCTGAGTAGTTTGGCCTTCCTTAACTGGCATGTAGTTTTGACTGCGTCCTTAAGAGCACAGGAAAACCTAGGAGATAAATTGGACTAAAAGACAAGTCTCTACTTTTCAGCAATAGGGATTCCATTATCTGTGAACTCAGCCTGTGTCATATAAACCCAACTCACTTCACAGGGTTGTTGTGGGGAAAATAGAAGGAGGAAGGCGTATTAGATATATTCGCCATCTTGAGTTGTCTGTAAAAATCATATAGATGGGGTAGAGATACATAAATAAAACTAAAATTGTTTTGTGTTTGATAAGGGCTTTGATAACATTTCCCACAATCTGACCATTACTTTCTCCCTTGTCATGCTGCAAACATTAATGCCTTACATGAAACTTTAATGCAGTGGTACCTGGGTACACAACTGCTTTGAAACTCATCGAATTTGGTATTCAACGCGTTTTGATGCAAAAATTTTGGCCTGGTACTCATTGTTTGTTTGATACTCAATGCACAAGCTAGAACTTGTCACTGTCGGCTGCCTTGTGACTCATTACGTTATTCTTTGTGGGAAAAATTTGTTTGGGTACTCATCATTTTTGGTTCTCATTGCGCCTCCCAGAACTAATTAACGATGAGTATCGAAATACCACTGTATATTTTTTGGGAGAGGGGCATAAATTACGGGCTGAATCCAGCCAATGGAGCTTATATCTTAACTAAGGATGGATCTCTAAGCAAGCTTTCAGTAGACCTAAATTGGAAGATGGTTTTGAGGAGCAGAAAGAATTATGGACTGTTCTTGTGGAGGCCCATACTGTGTTTGCCTCTGTCTCTGGAAAACATCATTGACATGTAACCTTTTTTTTTCTCCTCAATTTCTCATAGATATTCTCCATTTTTGCCTTTGCTACCTGTGGCGGATACAGTGGGCAAACATCTATATTTCTCGTGTGTAAAAGTGCCCCAAATATCACATGGACCCGTGATTTCTTCTATCCTTTCAGGTGAGATTATGTCACGTTTTTAAATCCACGTGGTTGTTCTTGGGTGTATCTGCCTGTGGTCAAGAAAAGTTATTGTAGGAGATGACAGTTATTTGTAAAGATAATGAAATTGAGATAGAGCTGGTTTGGGCCAATCCCACTCTTTTCCACAATCTGCCTTGTATGGGGAAAAATTGAAGGTTGGTTAAGGACGCCATCTTGAGTTCCTGGTGGAAAGACAGGATCTGAATCAAATAAATGAGCGGATAAATATTTTTGTTGGATTACAGTAATCAGGACACACATGGTTACAATATCCTGTGGCAGCTGAATATTTGGAAATAATTCTCACTCAGTTGCATAACCAAGAAATAAGGATGGAAGGGTAACTTTTGTCATCCATTTGCAAACACTTAGCAAGCCTTTTCCTCATGACTGGTTCTATGGAAGATATTTGCTATTGGAAAAATTGCTTCCAATTTTTTGTTCCCAAAAGCCTATGCAGGTTTACAAGTATTTATAGCAGACCTACTAGATTCTAACGCAGGGGTGTCAAACTCGCAACATCATGTGATGTGTCACGACATATCGCAACTTTTTTTCCCTTACTGGCAATGGGGTGAGTGCGGTTTCGCTATGATGCATCCGGTCTGCGGGCCAGCAATTTGACACTCCTGTTCTCCAGCACAGGAGATGGAGAATCCACCAATGGGTTAGCTCTGTCTTCCTGCCCATTAGACCAAGTCAGCCAAACTTGCCACACCCGTCCTGGGCTAGGATACACCCAGTCTTGACTTGGTCTCCAGCCCTAACAGACGTGACAATCTTGGCTCCCAGCAAGCAGGTTGTATTGAGCTTCCTTTGATGAATTCTCCTTTGCATCCACAGTCATTTCAGCAGCGCTGGGATCAGCGCTGCTTCAGATGACTGCTGGAGGGTAGGTTTTCTCCCCGGGGCTCATAACAAGAGCGGAGGCTTCCGCTCTTCCCTTGTCGAGCCCCTTACCATCTCGTAGCGCTGGGATCAGCACTGCAGCCTGCCTCCCCCTTTCACACGCCTGCGTGGCCACGGAATCAGCGCTGCAGCCTGCCCCCCCCTTCACACGCCTGCATGGCCACAGAGGCCTCATTTGGCTTTTGCCTTTGAGATCTGTAACCGCTTTGCTGCTGTGGGATCGCGGAGACCTCAGATGGCTCCCTTTCCCTCCAGATCGTGCGGCCGCCATTTTGGCGGCCGCTTTGGGATCGCGGAGGCCTTAGACAGCTCCCTTTCCCGCCGGATCGTGCGGCCGCCATTTTGGCAGCTGCTGGGTGACCGTGTAGGCCTTAATCGGCCGTCTTTGAAACTGCAACCGCGTGGTGAGCAGTCAATCGATCTTGCCTCAAGGGCTTGCCTTTTTGCTTCGTTGTAGGCGTTTGCCTGCTGACCCTAGCCTCTTTCCTCTTGCGCTTGGGTGTTTGGGCTCCGTAGCTGTCGGACGGGTGCGGCCGCCATTTTGACGAGGCAACGGGCCACCATTGCCAATGGGCCTAGACAAGGCCCACTCCACCTTGTCAGCAGCCCTTTCGCGAGGGGCGGAGAGGCCCAAAGGGCCCCGTCCGGCCTTATTCCCAAAGTCATACCCCCAGATAAAATACCAGGCCCATTGGAGGCCGAGACAACCTTGGCTGCCATCTTGGACGGCCTCATTAATCAAGAGCAATCACTCCAGTGTGGACAGCACAGGCCTCAACTGGTGCCTCACTTACAGACCTGGCACCACCTTGCGGGCTACGCGTGTGCGGGCTGTCATCACGCAGGTGATTTTGCTGCCTCCGTAGAGCCACCCGCTGCGCGAAGCTGCTGACACTTCACACCCTTGGCACTGTTACTACCAGCGCCCTACGAGCAAGCTGGCTGTCATCACACCGTGATTTTGCCGCGGCCGTAGATGCGACTGGACCATTAACAGGCATTTCCGGTCAGGTAGCCAGGGGAGCAGGGTGAACCAAGCCCGATATTGCCTTAGCATTCCCCTGCTCCAACCGCACTAGTCTAATCCGTCAATTGATCCACTGCCAGAGTTCCCTCTCAGCACTACCTGAGATAGCTCACCTCAGTATGGAGGACTCCACGGTGCCCCAAGCTAAGGACACCGCCTCCCCATCCACTAGCCATAAAAGGCACAAATCCTCCAAGCAGGAGGCGGCAGGCAGGATCAAGGCCAAGGCAAAGACCATTTCCGGAAGGAAGCCTTCCAAATTGGCGGAAAAACAGGCTAGCAGGAAGCACCAGGCTTTGGAGAAGGAATTTTCCAAAGCACAGAGGCAGGCCAGGGCAGAGGAGGAGCGGATAGAGGCCTCAGGTTTTGACCTCCCCCTGGGGCCCTCGACCTCCGCTCAAGGGGTCTGGTCCCCGGAGGGAATTCCCACACATCTCCCTTCTTCTGGGGTGGATCAAGATCCAACCATCCACCAACCACCATTGGCACCGCGGGTCCCACATTCGGGGCCAGAGGCCACCTTTACTCCCACAGCTGCCGGGCTCAGGTGACTGAGCCCGCAGGCGCCCTTTCTGATGATCGCCTTCAGGCTCTGATTTCTCAGGCGGTGGACCAGGCTCTTGCCGCCAGGTCTTACCACATGCCCAGAACCGAGTCAGTGGCATCCATACCCCCATCTTACCTTCTCCAGTCGGGGGTACCCAAGTACCATGGTCCTCCCTCACCATCCTGATCCTCTTATAGCAGGGCCTCATCTCCTGCGGAGCACGACCAACCAGACATACCATGGTTGGAGGAGGAAGACCCTCCCCAGACCCTCGCCATTTGGAGGTCTCTTTAATCCAGCCCTTTTCTTGCCACTGCTTCGCAAGGCCAGCATGACTGCCAACATAGGTCCTGATCGGATCCCTCAGTCAGACCCTTCGCCAAGCTCAGATCCGAACCCGGTGTTTTTTGAGCCCGTCGTGATTCAACACCATGTCCCTTGTCCATCTCTCTTCTTGAACACAGTTCGGAAGCAATAGGTCTCAGCTGGCACCTTCCCTCCTCCGGGAGGAATGGACAGGAAACTGTTCAGCGCGGCACCAGACTTGGCTGACACACTTAAGGTGCCAATGGTGGATGAACCCTTCGCCCCTCTCTTGTACTCGTCTACAGTGTTGGGGGATATGACTGAGGCGCTGAAGGCTGAGGACAGGAGATGGGAATTGACTTTCCGCAGGACTCACCAGGCAGCGGCATGGGCAATAAGGGCGGCTACTTGTGCATCTTTCTTTGCTAGGACCTCGCTCCTTTGGCTCCATCAACTACAGGCCAGGCTCCCTCCGGAGGAGGTACGCACTCAACAAGACCTGAGCAAGCTAGTTGCAGCATCGGAATATGTCTCCGATGCAACACTGCATGCGGCCAGGTTTTCCTCCAGGACCATGGCCTCCAATGTCACAACACGACTACTATGGCTTAAGAATTGGCAAGCTGACGCCAAATCTAAGTGGCGTCTGGTTACGGCCCTTTATCAGGGGGGTCAGCTGTTTGGGAAGGCCCTAGCACCTTATTTGACTGAGAATAAGGATAAGCAGAAGGTGCTGACCCATCTCAACAGGCGGGCTGACAGGCGTGCCAACCCTTATGCCCGCAGGCAGTCCTTTCGGTCAGGAACAGGCTCGGGTCCCTCACAGCCTCCCCCCCGTCCCTTCATGGCCAGACAGTATCGCCCGTCTAACAGACCGGGTCCCAGACCCAGGCAGCAGTACCAGGGCAAGCAGCCCTTTCGGGGGGGGGAGGTCCCTTTAGAAGGTCCAAGTAACTCTCGAGCTGCCCCTCCCATAGGTGGCAGACTAACACTCTTTGCCCACCAATGGCAAGCCACCACCACAGACTCCTGGGTCCTCCAAACCATTCAATATGGTCTGTCCCTAGAATTTGTGTCCAGCCCACCAGGGGGCTTCATTTCTTGCCCCCAATCAAAGAACCCAGTCAAAAAGGGCCTCATGCAAGAGGCCATTCATCATCTCTTGGACATAAGAGCCATAGAACCGGTGCCAGCTGGTCAACAGGGCGGGGGATTCTATTCCATCCTCTTTGTAGTTCCCAAGGCCTCGGGAGGATGGAGGGCGATTCTAGACCTCATAAGATATGCATACCAGAGATTTTGCATACCGGAAATTCAAAATGCAAACGCTCCAGTCCATCTTGGGCAGCATAAAGAAGGGAGATTTCCTGACGTCCATAGACCTCACGGAAGCGTATCTCCACATCCCCATCCTCCCCGACCACCGGCAGTTCCTCAGGTTCTGTTATATGGGCCATCACTATCAATACAGGGCCCTGCCGTTCGGCCTTTCGTCAGCTCCAAGGGTGTTTACCAAAATCCTGGCGGTGCTCGCCGCACACCTGAGACTGGTGCCGGTACGCATCCAATGCTACCTGGACGACATTTTCATCCAGTCATCCTCCCTTCTGGCGGCCCAGTCAGACCTGTCATTGTCGATCAAGGTCCTCCAGGAACACGGGTTCCCAGTGAACTTTCAAAAGAGCCAGACGGTTCCCTCGACCCGACTCCTATACCTGGGCGCCGTCATAGACACATTCAGTTGCCAGGTCTACCTCTCCCAGGAACGTCGGGACAGCATCTGGACCCTGGTCCTCAAGGTATGCAGGGAGCATGTAGTGACGCTGGCACTGCTTTTCCAACTCTTGGGAAAGATGGTTTCGTGTATCGCAATAGTGCCTTGGGCCAGACTGCATTCCAGGAACCTCCAATGGTTCCTGCTCCCCTTCCAAAGGTTGGGCACCGGCTCCTCCAACCAACGGGTAAGGGTTCCTACTCAGACCCTGCGGTCCCTCCAATGATGGTCCTCACCAACGGTAGCCAGAGGGTCATTTTTCAAGGAACCTGTCCGGCTTACGATGGACGCCAGTCTGTTCGGCCGGGGAGCACATCTTCGGTCTCAGTTCGCTCAGGGGCAATGGTCCTGAGCAGACCTGAGACACAATATCAATTGGTTGGAGCACAGAGCCATACACCTGGCTCTCTGCCACTTCCGCAACATGGTCGCGGGACAACGTGCTGGTCCTCACGGACAATGTGGCGGCAAAGGCCCACGTGAACAGGCAAGGGGGTACCCGGTCCAGGTCCCTCATGGCCGAGGCCCAGTTATTGGGCTCCTGGGCAGAGACCAACCTGTCCTCCCTCAGGGCCGAACACATCTCGGGGGAGGCGAACTGGCAAGCAGACTTTCTAAGCAGGTCGACCGTGGACCATTCCAAATGGCGCCTGCACCCGGACCTCTTCGCAGAGATAGCGCAGAGGTTCGGCCAACCGGTCATAGACTTATTCGCTTCTCCAGCGAACTCCCAGCTCCCGAGATTCTTCTCCCGGTTCCCGTCTCCAGGGGCGGAGAGAGCGGATGCTCTTCGAGGTCCATGGCCAGGGGGCCTGTTTTACGCATTTCCCCCTCTCCCTCTGATCCCGGCAGCCATCCGCAAACTGCTGCAGGAACGGGCGGAGGTAATACTCGTGTCCCCGTACTGGCCACGGAGGCCGTGGTTCGCCGACCTCATGAATCTCTCCAGATCTCCCCCATGGAGGATTCCCCCAGATCGTGTGTCCCTCAGCCAGGGGGTTCTACAACGCCCAGAACCCCAGTGGCTGCAATTAGCCGCCTGGCACTTGAACGCCGGATTCTGACCTGGGAATCATATTCGTCGGGCATGATTTCCATGATTCAGGCCTCCCGACGGCCGGTGACAAGTCTCATCTATGACTCCACATGGAGGAATTTTTGCCTTTGGTGCAAGAGGCGGCAACTACTGTAGATATCTTGGAATTGACGATTCCACAGATTTTGGAGTACTTGCTCGAAGGCCTTGATAGGGGCTTAGCGCCTAATACCATCCACAGGCAGGTTGCGGCCCTATCAACCTTGCTTACCTGTGCCAATTCTGTTCCTTTGGCCCAGCATCCCAGGATACGCTCCTTTCTCAAGGGCGCCACCAACACGAAACCGCCCGTGGTTCACAGGTATCCCTCTTGGGAATTGCCGCGGGTCCTACGGGCCCTTACCAAAATGCCGTTTGAGCCTATCACAACTTGTGCTCTGCGGTCCTTGTCTCTGAAGGCTGCCTTCCTGGTCGCCATCATGTCAGCCAGGCGTATCTCTAAGCTTGCGGCACTGTCGGTCAGGGATGACCTCTGTACCTTTCACCAGAACCGGGTGGTCCTTCGCTTGGACCCTACCTTTATTCCCAAGGTCAACACCCTTTTCCATAGAACCCAGGAGATTGTCTTGCCGGATTTTTGCCCCAATCCGTCTCATGACTTGGAAGGACAGTGGCACACATTGGACATCTGCAAGGCGTTACGCTATTATATCAAGCGAACGGCGTCCTTCCGCAAGTCTGAAGCCCTTTTCGTTTCCTTTCACCATTCCTCTATGGGACAGAGGGTGTCTCCCTTGACCATAGGCAGGTGGATCAGGGCCTGCATTGTGGAAACATACCAGTCGCATTCTCTGTCAGTCCCACGTCATGTCACGGCACATTCAACTCGCAGTGCTGCGACCTCTGCGACATGGGCCACACAGGTGCCCATCGAGGAGGTTTGTAGGGCAGCGACATGGTCTTCGCCTTCTCCTTTTGTACGGCATTACAAACTAGACAGGTTTGCCTCTGCAGACGCCTCCTTTGGACGGAAGGTCCTTCAGCAAGTCGTACCTAGGGACGAGGCCCCGGCCCTCACTGCTTCCCCCCCCATTGGGACAGTAGGGCTTTGGTATGTCTCATTGGTGGATTCCCCATCTCCTGTGCTGGAGAAGGGGTGTTGTCTTACCTGAACGCCTTTTCTTAGCACGAAGATGGAGAATCCACTCCCACCCCTTGAGGTCCATCTGGGCCAGTGTTAGGGATCTGGGAGCCAACACGTCTGACCATAGTCAGTGGCTTTTGCCCTCGTCAAGACTGGGTGTGTCCTAGCCCAGGACGGGCGTGGCAAGTTTGGCTGACTTGGTCTAATGGGCAGGAAGACAGAGCTAACCCATTGGTGGATTCTCCATCTCCGTGCTGAGAAAAGGCGTTCAGATAAGACAACGCCCGTTCTAATGGCTTTGTTCCTCATGCCATCCGTCTTGTAAATTCACAGGATTCTTTTTTTTTTTTTTTGCCATGTATATGTACATTCAAACTAGACTGTGATATTTCTCTGTGTCATATATGTGTGTGTATGTGGGTATATGCATAATGGTATTTTTTCAGAGCTGGATGCGATGAAATTTCATTTTAATGTATGCTGATTAGCAACCAATAAAGTAGCATACATTAGCAAAAAATATTTATTCTATTCTATTCTATTCTATTCTATTCTATTCTATTCTATTCTATTCTATTCTATTCTCATGCAGCATTGTAACACCATCCTTTCCCCTGGCCTCCCCCAGCTTGCATGTGGCCTATGCAGGGCCTCTCCCACCTCACCCCTGTGGCACACACTTCCCAATGGCAGACTGCACTCCTTACCTGGGATCCCCCCCCCCCGTTTTCCACTTAATGAGCTGCGTATCTTGGGATTATGATGGTAACCGGGATTGTCATTGCTAAGAGATGCATTCACATGATGTGGTGATTTATGACCACATTTCTTAGTGATGGCAATCCTGGTCCCAATTGTTGTAACCTATAACCTGAGGTCTATATGTATCCTGCACAAATATTGTTAGATTTAAATATAAAATCTTCTGAGTAGAAACACACCTGATCTGAAAACACTTAAAGAAACTTGGATCAGCAAAAATTGCTGGAGACAAAGAAGCTTCTCTCTTTGTGGGAATGTATTCTGGTTGAAAAAGTGGACATTCATAGTAAACCAAAATTGTGTTGAAATTATGACATGCCTATCACTTTGTAAATCCTGTCCTTCTATACTCTTTTTCGGACATCTGATGCGAGTATGTAAATTGCAGCATTTGCAACATAACACACAGGCACGCAAACACACAAACTTTTCATCAGCCTCATATGTATGCATGCCTGCCCGGGCAAAGATACGATTGAAAATTGTCCGCTTTTTCTTTTTGTCACCAGGTTGAGCAAAATTTCATTTGGACCTCTGGACTCACCAGCAAAATGCAACAATACTTGGCCCTTGCCCGTGTACTTGGTGGGAGATTTCGCCTCCTCTGCTGAGTTCTTTGTGACTTTTGCAGTTCTCGTATTCCTGTACTGCACCGCAGCCTTAATACTGTATCTCGGTTACATGCACTTGTATCGAGGTGCTGGAAAACTCCCCATGATTGTAAGTCAACTTTGCTTTTCTATTATTTATAGCAGGGGTCCTCAGCCCCCGGGCTGCGGCCTGTTAGAATCCAGGCTGCGGGAGAAATGGGCAAGCACGCGTGCACGTGAACCTCCACTTGTGCAAGCAGCGGGTGCCCTCCACTTGCGCAAGTACAGCTTTGTGTGCGAATGCAAACGCCCTCTGCTCAAGCGCCTGACACTCCCGCAAGTGGAACTTCATGTGTAAGTGCAAGCACCCTTCGCTGGCGCACAAAACTCCATCCGCATGCTGCTGTTCACACAAATGGAGCTGTGCACAGACGTGTGTGCCTCCCCCTCCCCCCCCCGGCACCATGCCACCAAACTGGAAAGGTTGGGCACCACTAATTCATAGCACTGGGTGAAGGTATGCATATTTCATGGATGGAAAACAATCGTGGGTGCCATTTATCCATAAGATTAATTTATTGAGCTGTAGTTTTATTTTTATGTATTTATTTTTAATTTATATCCCATTTTTGATATTTTTATAAACAGCTCAAGGTGGTAAGCATACATAATGTTCCCTCCTCCTCCAGTTTCCCCCACAACAATCCTATGTGGTAAATTGGACTGAGAGAGAGGAACTGGCCCAGAGTCACCCAGCTGGCTTTCATGCCAAAGACGGGACTAGAACTCACCATCTCCTGGTGACTGGCCCCAAGTCACCCAGCCAACTTTGATACTTAAGATGGGATTAGAATTTAATCTCACTTCTTTTTTTGCCAACAAACCTTTCAAAAGAGAAGAAGGCTTCTGGAAAGGTGGGGTAACTAAGGCTAACATATAATTATTTAATTGAGATTGCTTTATTAATCTTGGGCAGACCAAGGATTTATCGTACCTTGCTTTCATCATTCACTTACCCCCCCTGAATCTCATGCCGTTTTTTAAAACCTGTTTTTAAAAGTAAGTTTTGAAGGCCTTATTCCAAAGATATTTCTTCAGTAAAAATATATTTCCCTCTATTAGAAAATACTGTAAATATTATAGAGAAAACCCTTATTTTGAATAATAGCAAGAAAAGTTTCAAGTGCAAGCAACTTTATTGCCTATTACCTATGTTACAAGAATCTCAACAGACTGCTTGCCTTCCACTGGGAATGAGCAAGTAAGGCTTCATGGATCTTAGAGGAGGTCTAGCTTATGCTGCTTATTGCTGCACAAACTCCAAGCTAGGCCCTTGCTTGACCTCCTTCTTCCAGCCAAAATGGCAGCTTCCCAACAAAAGATATTTTTAAAGCCCTAAGATTCACTTACTTGGTGAATTTTTTAAACATAGTTTTCCTCTCATCTCTGTCCATTGCTCTATGCCTTTGGTGAGTGTGCAGCACCTCAGTCCCTGCCTAGGCAGCTGGATGCAATGGAACAGTTAACTCTGATGCTGAGAAGAGGTTCTGCATCCTTCAGAGAAATATTTAACCATAACAGTACATCTTTCTTCCTCTTTCTCTTGCCGCCGGATTCCAGGAGCTGTGGTGAGTGTGACATCTTTTCTGTAGATCAAAAATACCTCCTGATCAACAAGGCAGGACCTGTAATAGATATTGCTAGCATGCCCACCTGCTCAAATTTGAAGTTCAGAAAGTTTGGGCCATTCCTTGGTCAATAAGCTTTTGGTGGATCCCATAGTTATGATATA